GAGATGTTGCAGAAGTTCCTTCAGAGCACCTTGCCAAGCACGAACTGCATCACCGAGTACCAACGCTTGGCATCCACGCTAGACTTGTCGATCACCTTTACGGGCATCAAGCACTACATCACGAGGTCGTGCCCGGCACTGCAAAATGCATTAACGCAAGCCATGGAGACGCTCACCACAACTGAGCAACTATTTAACCAGGCCTCGCAGATTATCCTGACGAGTACGGAAGCTCGCAATGCTGGCCATTCATCCTTTGCAGGCATGGGCAGAGATAAGCATGGGCCAAAAGTGGTCGTGGTCGCCACAACAACACCGAGCGACTCTTCGAACGAGGCTGCTTCATCTAACGAGGGAGAAAGGTTAGCAGCTGCCCGGGATGGTGTCTGCCCCACCAAAGGGCGAGGACATGGCAAATCGAAGACACACACCTCTTCAATCCCTGGGTACGGAACAACAACTCAAGACCCTTGGCTAATGCATTGGTTCTTCTTCGCACTCTCATTTGTCCGGACCAAAAGGATTGGGTTGAGCGGTTGCCGGACTTTGAGTTGGCTTACAACTCGTCCATTCATCCGGCTATCGGGATGTCGCCTTTTGAGTTCAAGCATGGCTCGCTAGTCACATCACCGTTGGACGCGATCATCCTATGGACGACCATGAGCGACGACCACCTTGTTTTCATTCGATGGATGCAAGAGCTCTTTGTCAAGGCATGCGACCAAATGTTGAAGGCGCAGCAACGCATGAGCCGTCTGGCCAATCGTCAACGTCTTCCTTGTCCATTCCACGCAGGCGACTTCGTTTGGGTCTCCGCCGTGGAATTCAGCCTCGAACAAGATATATCTCGCAAGCTCCTTCTGAAATGGATGGGGCCTTGGCGCATTGTAGCCCCCACTGGTGATGCACGCGAAGGACCATCATTTGTCATTCAGGTGCCCGCCCACTAGCCCATCTACCCGATTTTTCATTATTAAAAGATGGCTCTTTTCTTTTCGGCGGAATGTGACGACTTACCCGGGCGACGATCGCAAGACCCACCCTCCATGGACGGGTTTCAGGAGGTTAGCACCAAGCCGGCGTAGTACTTAGTGCATTTCTCTTATTTAGCCATAAGACTGACCATTTGTTGACCCGCGCAGAACTTCAAGCTACAGCCCCAGTAAGGCAAGCCAACACCTTCGGCTCGACGCCGTATTCACGTCCACATTCCACCATCAGATCATCAGCTTCGCCCTCGACCCGGCTTGAGTTCATAAGGAGGTGGGGGGGGGTGTTACATGCTGAGGCTGCACACGGGGCCCGTTTCGGGGGCCCGACGGTTGCTGAGGGGCCCCAGGCCGCACACCCCTCAAACACACACCCTGGCGGCCCACAACCCGCTTTCGGGCCGCGTGTTTCGATTTGAGGCAGCATTCATTTATTTATTTATTCCTTTATTTGCTGTCCTATTTTTGTTTGTTCAGGCGGCATTTTGGACTTGCAGTTCATTCGAACAAACTTTCGGTTTATTCAAACAAAGGCCACATTTTTGGCCTAGTACAGACGCAAGCAGGCCCTTCCGGGCCAGGTCCACCTAGATGTCCGATAGGGACCCAGGCAAGCCGTATTGAGTTCAGGACCAGAGGCACACGGAGGCACACCCGCAAGGTCCAGTGCTGCTTATGGTTGGGCCAGGCCAAGGCAGACAGTCCGAGTAGCTCACTTCTTGGGCGACACGTTGTTGGAGCAGCGCGACACAGCACTGCATTAGAGATAGAGGTGTAGGTAGAGCGAGGGAGGCAGAGGCCATACCTACAGCGACGGCTCTTCACTTACCTAAGCACCATAGCTGGGCTCTGCGCCAGCAACCTGCACAGGGACACCACGCGGTCAATACATGGCGGCAGCTACCTGCAGGTGAGACAGCGAGGAGGACGACATCTTTTTCTTCTTCATCAAACCCTCCTCTTTTCCCTCCTCCTTTCAGAGAGAGAGAGAGAGAGAGAGAGAGAGAGAGAGAGAGAGAGAGAGAGAGGTTACAGACAAAGGTTACATCGGGCATGAGTCCTAGGATCTGATTCGACATTTTTTTTGCAGACATTGATTGGACATTCGGCAGGGAGACTATTTTTGGACTTCGCTATCGAAATTTTGGTCTTCTCCCTCACCTCCATCTTCATCTCGCCTCTCCCCCATCTCTTCATCCGTGGTATCTCACCCATGTGCGTGTGCAAGGAGGGACCTTCCTTCCATGTATGCGGTCCCTCCTCTCTCACATGTGTGGCATATGATGGGATGTCGTGTCAGTCTCTAATAGGCCAGGTCATATATTTGAGTCTTCCATTGCGCTACATTGTGCTATTTTCATACGTATCTGGATATACATTGCCTGTTGATGCTTTGATGACACTGCATTGTCCATTTGAGTCCTTTTCATCACTTTGTGGATCCTTGGCTCCCCATACATCGCTCGAATGAGCATGTATCATAGAAGGACGAGAAGTGGAGCTCAAGGCCATAAATCTCATGGAGTCCATGCCAGAAGTGAGAAAGTAAAGCGAGGATCACAATCGAAAACGATGCTCGTGGGAAGACCGTGGATAATGCGGTTGAAGTAGAGCGAGGTGATGTTTTTAGCTGAGCTAGAATACTTGCAAGGAAGGAAGTGAGCATGCTTCGTCAATCGACAAACAACGACGAAGATGGCCTCATGCCCGCATGGGGTGGGGGAATGAAGAGGATCCATGAAGTCCATCCAGACAGTGGTCCAACGCTGAGCGGGAATGGGCAAAGGGTTGAAAGACTGTAAGGGGGGTGGTTGGTGATGTTGTTCTCCTGGCAGATTCTATAGGTGCGAACGAACTCCTTAGTGAAGGCACAGTTGTGCTCCCAGTGGTAGTGGTGATAGAGGCGGTCAAGGGTCTTGAAGATACCAGGATGACCGGCAGCATGTTGATCGTTGCACTCGGCCACGACACAAACGTGGAGCTGGCTAGTAGAGGGCACTCATAAGCGAGTACGAGTACCTTTGCGACCTAGCCAATAAAGTCCAAAGGGATCAAGTTGGAAGTTAGGGACAGGCCTGCCCGCCTGTACGCCGGCGTAGATAGACTGGAACTCAAGACAACGGGCGTACTCGCGGCGGTACTCATCAAAAAAAGAAAGGCGAATGGTGGATGGTGGAAGTGGAAATAGCGGAGAGTTGACGATGCTCACACTAAAGGTCAGGGCGGCAAAATAAGGCGTTTGCAACACGATTGCTCTAAACAAATATCTACTTGATGTGGAAGTTGAACTCGGAGAGGTCACGCCACCAACGAGCCTAGTGGGATATGAGCCAAGGCTTCATCTGAAAGGCGACAAAAATAGAGTTGTCCGTCAAAACTGTGAAGGTTTGACCGTGCAGATGACGCCACTTCTGTAGAGCGATGACCAGTGCAATAACCTTACACTCAACGACAGTATAGTTACGCTCGGCGGGAAGTAGTTGTCGGGAGAGATAAGCAACTGGACACTCCATTGCGAAATGGTTGTACCGCCAGGAGGTGTAGGCTTGATGGGGGCGAGTTGAGCTGCGACCAAGGGAGAGGGGGGAAGGAAGCGAGGAATGCGAGGGAGACGAGATTCTATGGAATCGGGGGAAGTAAAAGGGGCTAGGTATATCTAAGAGAGAACGGCTCCAATAGGAAAATATGAAGCATCCGTGGTGACGATGAATGGATGCGACTACCGTCTTCCCCTGAACATAACACATGCGTTATAAACAAATACAATGCATACCGTGCGTTGTATTCGTTTACAATGCATATGCGTTATGTTCGAGTGAACGAGACCAACTTTGCCAGCACAAGGGGGGTGGGTCCAGGCTGAGTAGGCTCAGGTGGGCATCAGAGCCGGCAAAAAGGTAAAAGTAAAGTAGCGACATACCTTTCCATGTTCTGGGTTGAGTTTCATTCCTTTCCCCTACTTGGGCCCTTGCTCCACTCCTCAACAAATGTGCAAAATGCAAATGAATCTTCCACTAGAACGTGGACAAATAAAACCCCTTTCTTTTTTGTCTCGGTGACCACGGTAGTGCAATAAGACCTTGGCGAGTGTCTTTCTTATTTTTCCACTTTCTTGGTCGCGCCACATTCTTGACTGTCAGAAGCGCCACTTTCTTGGTTGTCAAAACCGCCTTCGCGCACGGAGAGAGAGAGAGAGAGAGAGAGAGAGAGAGAGAGAGAGAGAGAGAGAGAGAGAGAGAGAAGGGCGTCAATGGCAGAGAGGGCAGTTTCTTGCTGACAGCAAAGGACAAGGGGCAGAGAGAGAGAGAGAGAGAGAGAGAGAGAGAGAGAGAGAGAGAGAGAGAGAGAGAGAGAGAGAGAGAGAGAGAGCTACAACGCGTGTCAATGACCAGGACGGCAGTTTCTTGCATGAAGAAGAGCATAGGGGGCGCACAAAGAGAGAGAGAGAGAGAGAGAGAGAGAGCACAGGCAGTGATCTGTGATTACGGGCTTGTCCCGTTCACCAAGGCAAGAATGGAGCAGGCATTGACCTTCGAGGGGAAAAAAAAAAGGGCTATATTCGAATACAACAATTTTCTCTTTGTGAAAATCAAATATAACATGTATGTGTATTATTCAAATAGAACGCATGTGTTATATTCAAAGTGCCCTTGTATTCGAAGAAAAGGGTCTAACTTTCCAAAAACCAATTTTTTGGAAAACTCGAATACAAAGCATATGCGTTATGTTCGAGGGAAGACGGTAGTCAGGCAAGTGTAAAACAGGAGCTGAAGTGACAAGCCGCTTAAGAGAGTGGAAAATGTCCTCATGCGCGGGGGTCCAATGAAAGGGAAGACGTCCACGAGTCAGAGGGGTAAGCTGGGAATAATACTGCACGTAGTTTTTGAGGAAGGGGCAGTAGTAGTTGGTCAAACCTAAGAAACTACGCAGCACCTGGACAGAGGTAGGGTTAGGCCAATGGACGATGGCCTAAATCTTTGAGTCGTCCATATGGAGTCCATGCTCAGATACTTGATGCCCGAGGAAGTCAGCGTTGGGTTGACCGAAGCAGCACTTGGAGAGCTTCGCGTAGAAATCGTAAGCACGTAATCGTTGTAGGACAGTGCGAAGATAGGTCAGGTGCTCCTCTATGTTACGACTGTAGATCAAGATGTCATCTTTGTTGACTCGAATAGAGTCCTCAGAAAAATCTTGGAACATCGTGTTCATAGCCGTCTGGAGTGTAGCAAGGGCATTGCGGAGACAAAAAGGCGTGATCGTGAACTCGAAGTGTCCAAACCGAGATCGGAAGGCGGTCTTAGATTGGTCCTCCTCGGCTACGCGGATCTGGTGGTATCCGTTGCAAAGGTCAATCTTCGAGAATATATGATGGTTGGCAAGGCGATCAAATATCTCATCGGCAAGGGGCATAGGGTAGCAGGTTTTGACCGTGTAGTGGTTGAGACTGCGATAATCAATGCAAAGACGAAGAGTATCGTCCTTTTTACACGCGAATAGGACGGGAGTGCCCCATGGAGAAGAACTCAGTTTAATGGAGTCCTAGTGAGGCAACTCCTCTAGTTGGCACCCGAGTTCCTGGCTTTGGGAACCGAAAGGCGGTAGGGGCCTCGATCTTGGATGTGGTAGTTGGGTCAGGCAGGATGTGATGCTCGATATCACGTATGGGGGGATTACCGTCGTAGGAGAAGGACTAGGGAAAGACATCCCAAAACTTTCGAAGGAGGGCGCCAACACTAGGCTGCAAGGAAGTGACGAGTATATCAAACTCCTTGGCCGTGGTGGTATCTGGAGTAGAAGTGGGGGGACTCTGTGTAGAGGTAGGAGTCGAGGGGGTAGAAGTGGTAAGGAATGCAAGAAAAGGAAAGGAGCTAGCAAGAGCAGGAGGGGAGAAGGTAGTTGGAGATGTCGGAGCGTCGAAGGGTCTAGAAGTGGGGTATCGAGCTCGACCAGCTCAGCCTCTTGGTGCATGTAGTTACAGGTGAGAAGGTATGTGATGTCGACAACATAGAGTTGGACATTGGGCTGGCAAAGGAAGTGGTGAAATTCGATAGGTGTAGAGATGGCAACAGTAGGAGCGGGATGTGTGAGATCCGACTTGCCCAATAGAGGGATCCTTAGCATACAGGACAAGGTCATTGTGGGCCCAATCGGGGCCAGAATGTGCAACCTGGTGGGAGTATGCGGTACCGAGAACACGATCGTATAAGGTTTCCATGACGTCAAAGGTCCATTGGTCGTGGACCGTGGGGCCTTGCGACGGCTGTAAGGCATCCGCAATGGGAAGGAGAACAGAAGATCAGGCACCACACAGTCAACGACGGACTTGGCGTGGTTGTCACCAAGGGTGACGGTGACGGTGGAAGGGTATGTTGAGGTGTAAAGAGAGGCCTCTTTAACTACGCAAGGATGGATGAAGCCGTCGGTAGAGCCTGAGTCCCCTAGTGCACAATACGCCCTGGTAGAGGTCCTGAGGCACACTGTAATAATGGGTACGGTGAGATCAAGGTTGTGGATGCGCTTGGACATCGCAGACAGGGTGCGCTCTTTTAGGCGGAAACATTCATGGTGGACCTTAATACACTCAAGGTCTAGGAAGTCAATGACATCCTCTGTGGCTACAAGGGAAGCACTGCAGCGGGCCGTGCGAAGAGCACCCCTGGAAGGATGTGGAGGGGGGACATGAGAGGCGCTAGGAGAGGAAGGAGGAGCTACACCAGCATCTCCCAATGGAGTCGTCCGGGACAGTCGCAAGCGGCACAAAGGGAGAGTCTCGAGCGAGTATGCCTGCTACCATTGGGGGCTCAGAGGGACGAGACATCGCAGCTAGGTGGGTGGTGTGGCGAGCCTATTGTGCGAATCACGCTGAAAAGGCCCGGACGAGGTGGTCGTCCTTGGAGGTGACATCATCATCTGCAGGGGACCGAGGGTCGAGTCCCTGATCCGGGTCACTTGAAGAACCATCTCAGACGGTGCCGTCATTAGCGCTCGACAGGTCACGAAGCAAGTTATGAAAGCGACGAAAGAGGGATCGTCCAGAAAATCTATGAGAGCTGTGTCGATATGTGGAAGGTTGTCAAGGCTGGGAGGTACGAGGGGCTGCAGTAGCAGCGAGAGGGGTTGTGGCGGGCTAAGTAGTGGAACCGACGAGTGGTGTGTAGGTGAGATGGATAGCCCGAGCGGTGTTGAAGGCCTCCAGTAATGTTTGGAACGAGTACGCCACCATCTGCCACATAAATGATTGAAGTAAGCCCACGCAAAATCGCTGAATCATGGTGTCCTGTGGTATAGCGAAGACCGGGATCTGGGCTCGTAAGCGGTGAAATGGCATAATGTAAGAGTCTAAGGCATTATTGCCACCGAGCCATCTCATCTCGGCTACACGAGTAATCGGGTCGCGGCCGGGCGTAGGGCGAGAGAAATACTGCTGAAGAAAATTGTGAAACTAGGATAAGACATGCCCTCATATACACCACGTTGTGAGCGAAGGGCGAGGAAGTCACGCCAGGTTGTGGCTGCGCGACCTATGAAGCTGGCGAACATCTCAACTAGCCAAAGTTCCATGGGCACACCACGATAGTGATGCTGCTCCTTGACAGTAGCGATCCAACCTTGGAGCTCCGAGGCCTTGTCGTCAAACTGTGGGAGTCGGTCCAGTCGAAACTGTGGGACATAAGTCGGAGGCCGATGTGGGGAGGAAGAGGGAAAGTCGACTGGGATAAAAGGACAGAAGAAGTATTGGCACCAGCGGGAGTACTAGAAAAAGTGGGCAGTGGAGGCAAAGGTCCCTGACCCGACGTGGTGGCCAGTGGTGGGAGCGCGAAGTGCATCATAACAGCTTGTGTCTGATGCTGGTGGTAAAGAGCGGGGGCAACAAGCTGAGCCAGCTGGTGTGGGCGAAGAGGCTGGCCACTCTGAAGTTGGCGAATGTGGTCCTCGACCACTGCAAGCTGGTACTAAAGTTCGGCAATCTGGGTCCAACGGGCAGGAGGGAGGGGGGGGAGAAACAAGGAGGTGGAGGAAGAGGAAGCCTGAGGGCTTGTGAGGAGAAGTGTTGAGGAGATGGAGCAGAATGTCATAGCTCCTGTAGAGGGGAGTGTGCATGTAAGAACCCTAGGCGTGGGACGTAGGTGCAGAGGAAGTATGGGTCTGAGGAGAGGAGATGCCACCAATGGTGGAGACGAGGGTATAGATGATGCCAACCGAAGAGGGAGTGAAGGATGGTACCGTTGTCGAGGACAAAGCGAAGGTGCTGGAGTGGGGGATGCCACACTGGAGAGGAGGAGAACACGATCTCCCAACGGATGATGTCTGGGGAGGGGGAGGGGAAGCGGGAGATGAGGGGCGGGTTGTAGTACTAGGCTCCAATTGTGAGATGCGGTCGTTTAGCATACCAATGTGGGCTGAAAAAATCGTTTGGAGGGCCATGAATCTGACCTCGAATGTGGCCTACATGTTCTCAAGTAGGGCGACGACACGGTCCGAGCGAGTGGCTGGGCCCGAGCTGGAAACCATAGGGGTGGAGGTCTCAGCCGCGAATCAGACGTGTTATTGCGGGCTAGAAGTGCAAGGCCGTCACTAGCGGTGTGAGAGGGGAGGCTGGATCGGCCATGTGAATGGGGTATGGAGCGAAGAAGACGAAGTTGATGGGGAGGGAGCACCAGCAGGGTGGGGACTATTGGTAGGCACAGTGGTAGTCTCGTAGCACGCTAGTCGACGGGTGGCACAAGCATTACGAGAGCGGTTTCGGAGTTCACATTGTTGGGGGTCACGGGAAGACAGGTAAATATGAAGTCTAAAGAAATTCCTAAATTAAATTAAGAGAATTAAGAACCAAATTCAAGCAGGGAGGAGGGTAATATTTCCAATATGGGCGAGAACGCAAGAGGAAATTTGGAGGGAAGTGGGTGAGATATAGAGTAAATCACGCAAAAGAGTATCACGAAGTCAAAATAAAATTCCAAAATAATATGGGCATAAATTCAAAATTGAGAAGGAAGATAAAAAAAACATTTCAAGAAATTCAGAATTTCACTATGTTACCTGATCGGACGTCCAAGACCCCCTGACCGTTCGGGACTGTCTGATCGGACAACCAGTCCACCGTCCGTTGGGGGCCCTACGTCCGATCGAAAAAAAAATAGGGGGGGTTTAGGACACAAACTTGGGCGGTGCAGGGGTGGACTGTGGGGACAGGCGAACCCGGGGCGCCGACGGGAAGAATTATTGGAGACAAAAAAAACTAATCTGGGTCGTCAGATCTGCCAGATCGACTGCCCAGATTGGGCTATTTTCAAATTTGGAATGGGGGCAGTGGCGGTCTCCCCTGCGCGTCTCGGCCCGCGCACTGTCGCCGGAGTTCGGTGTTGCCATTGCCGAACTCCAAGGTCCACGAGCGCAACCCCGCGCGCCATCGCCCGCCCACATCAGGTGAGCCACCTTCCCTTCGTCCACCTCCTCCTCCTCCTTCTCCCCCCTCTCGTCCTCCTCCTTCTTCCCCTTCTCCTATCTTCCTCCTTCCGCTTCTCCTCGCCTCGTCCTCCTCCTTTTCATCTTCCTCCTCCTCCTCCTCCTCGTTGTCGTCGTCGTCCTCCTCCACCTCCACCTCCTTCTCCTCCTCCTCCTCCTCCTCCTCCTCCTCCTCCTCCTCTTCTTCTTCTTCCTCTCCTTCGTCGCCGTGGCCTCCTCCTCCATCATCGGGCCCTCCTCTTCTTCCTCATCATCCTCTTTGTCCTCCTCCTCCGCCTCCTCCTCCTCCTCCTCGTCCTCCTTCTCCTCCTCCACCTCCTCTTCTTCCTCCTCTTCTTCCTCCTCTTCTTCCTCCTCCTCCTCTTTCTCCTCCTCTTCTTCCTCCTCTTCCTACTAGTTTTCCTCCTCTTCTACTCCCTCCTCCTCTTCTTCTTCTTCATCCTTTCTCTCCCTCCTCCTCCTCCTCCATCGCCGTGGCCTCCTCCTCCCCGGCTTTTTTTTTTTTTGTCCGCTCTTTCTTAAATCAATCAATCAATCAATCAATCGATTGATTGATTGATTGATTGATTGATTGATCGAACAAAAAAAAAAAACAAGAACAAAAAACGGGGAAGGAGGAGGCCATTAACAAAAACAAAAGACGAGTAGCACGACAAGGATTAGCTGAACGGGGAGGAAGAAGAAGAATCTGGGGAGGAGGAGGCCGTGGCGATGGAGAAGTACAAGGAGGAAGACAGAGAGGAGGACGACGAAGGAGGAGGAGGAGGCACCGACGATGGAGGACAAGGAGAAGGAGAAGGAGGAGGAGGCGGAGGAGGAGGAGGAAGAAGAGGTAGAGAAGGAGGAGGCCACGGCGACGGAGGAGGAGGAGGGAGAGAACTTAGAGGAGGAAGAAGAAGGATCATCGTCGGAGGAGGATGACGACGAGGAGGCCGAGGAGTGGGAAGAGGAGGAGGAAGAAGAGGAGGAGGAGGAAGAAGAGGAGAAGGAAGAAGAGGAGGGCCCGACGATGGAGGAGGAGGAGCAGGAGGAGGAGGAGACCACGGCGGCGGAGGAGGACGAAGAAGAAGAGGCAGAAGAGGAGGAGGAAGAAGGAGAAGAAGAAGAGGACGAGTAGGAGCCTACTAGGAGGAGGCCCCGACGGGGGTGAAGGACAAAGAGGCGGCGGTGGCGGTGGCAGCGGTGGCAGCAAGAGGGAGGTGGAGGAGGAGAGATGACGAGGATGGGAAGGAGAATGAGGAGTAGGAGGAGGCCCCGACGATGTTGGAGGAGGAGGAGGAGGAGGAGGAGTGGGAGGGGGCCGAAGTAATTGGTCACCCGATCACTCTGCCGTCCCTCCCTACTCTTTTTTCAATCAATCAATCAATCAATCAATCGATCAAAGATCCCATCGAATCGATTGATTTGATAGGATCGATAGGATCTTGACAAGTCAAGATCCTATCGAATCAGTCGATTCGATGGGATCTTCGATCAATTGATTGATTGATTGATTGATCGGATTAAAAAAAAAAAAAAGCGGGGGAGGAGGAGACGTTATCGATTCGGTGACAATGGGGAGGAGAACGACGAGTAGGGGGACAGGGATTGGTGGGACGAGGAGGAAGAAGAAGAAGCAGGGGAGGAGGAGGCCGTGGCGATGAAGAACGACGACGAGAAAGATGAAGAGGAGGACGAGGAGGAGGACGACGAAGGAGGAGGAGGCCCCGACGGGGGTGAAGGAGGGAGAAGTGGCGGCAGCGGCGGTGGCAACGGGGGAGGAGGTGGCCCCGACGATGGTGGAGGAGGAGATGACGATGGGACAGGGATTGNCAACGGGGGAGGAGGTGGCCCCGACGATGGTGGAGGAGGAGATGACGATGGGACAGGGATTGGCAGGGCGAGGAGGAAGAAGAGGAAGTGGGGGAGGAGGAGGCCATGGCGATGGAGAAGGATGAGGAGAAAGACGAAGAGGAGGATGACGAAGGAGGAGGAGGAGGAGGCAGGGGAGGAGGACGAGGAGGCCTCGACAGGGGTGGAGGAAGAGGCGGTGGCAGCGGGGGAGGAGGTGGAGGAGGAGAGACGACGACGATGGGGAGTAGAATGAGTAGGAGGCCCCGACCATGGTGGCGGAGGAGGAGGAGGAGTGTGAGGGGGCCAAAGTGATTGGCCACCCGATCACTCCGGCGGCCCTCCCCACTCTTTTTTCAATCAATCAATCAACCCCACCCCCACACACAACCCAAAGCCTGTTTCTAATTTTTTTTCTGTTTTTACTCGGAATGGCCCCAAATTTTTTTGGGGGGGTCCCCTGGCAGTGTGCAGACCCCCCCCACTTTTTTTACTTTTTTTTTGCTTTCCACGTGGCAAAAAAGCCGTTGTCCAATTTTCCGGACAACTCCCCCTCGACCGTCTCCCGAAGACGTCCGGGGGAGACGTCTCCCAATCGGACAGCTGGTAACGTAGGAATTTCATGAAAATTTCCGGAAATCGAAGAGATGGCAGAAGAGATAAGGATGAGTTCGTAATACAACATGGAAGATTTCTTGACGTGTTTTCAAAATTAAAAGAAAATCAAAAGGAATTCGAAATCAAAATAGAAAACTAATTCTGAAATTCAGACTTTACGATGGAATAAAACCAAGAATTAACTGGAAGCCGAGTAGAAATGAATTGAGAGAAATTTGAAAATTATTGAAGGTCAAATCAGAAAATTGTGAACGTATTTCAAGATGGAGAAAGATTTCACAGTAATTTCAAAAGAATTTTGAAAGAATGTGCAGAATTGCAAAATTTTATGGGGGAAATAAAACAGGAGTTACTTTGAATTCAGAAGAATTGAATTTGATGAATTTCTGAAAAATAAATTGAATTCTGAAAATAAATAACGAAAAGAATGGACACAATAAAGAATTTTATATAACTTTCAAACAAAGATGCCAGAATTAATTTCAGTTCCCGGCGTTGGTAGAAAAGAGGATGAGAAATAATCCTATTGAGTTAAGAGGGAAATTTTGCAGGATAGGATTGGCAGAATTGCCAGACGAGCAAAATTGAGAAAACACACATGTCATGCGCATTCGGAATTTTAGATGGTGCGACCGATTAGGAAGAATGCTAGAGGAGAGAAGGGGGAATGGGGGGAAGGAAGAAAATGACGAGAAAGATGAGAACTTCGAGAGGTCCTTCCTCCTAGTCGAGGAAGGTCTTCAGTTAACCCCTGAAGGGTCTTCTCGTTCGTTCCCCCAGTGAAACGACGAGGTCACCAGAAAAAGCATGCAGATGATGTCGCCAATGATGATGATGATGATCTTTGTTGATGATGATGACAACGTAGATGATGCTTGGTGATGCTGATGAAGGAGATGAGATCAATCTCAACTGTTGTGGAGAGAGATGGGCAGGAGAGATCTCGTCAAGTCATTCATGAGCGTCACTGATTGGATGACACAGATTGATGATGATGAGGATGGTGACGCCTATCAGGTTGATCCAACTTGATGGTGGTGGTGTCCACGCGGGCAAAGCACAATTCACGTTTCGCGTTGGTGGATGAACAGCCCAACACTTCGTGAGTACTACTTCGTAATGAGATGAAGAGCCGACATTGAAGAATCAAAAGCAACGTAACTGTGAACGCTTGGCTGGTATACGCCACTTATCGCCGTGTATCCGAAGGAAGGAACACAACACCTCTAGCTTGAAGTCCTGAAACGCTAGAGGGTCGATAAGACATGTTTTCAAAGTTTGTATTGGTACACGAAACGAAAGTCAGATGAGCGTTTGGCCTTCTGCTGCACGCTCCAATGCCGTGCGTGTGGGGCACGGGTGAGAACACGCGCTCGGTCTTCTTCGCAGTGGCACTTTCCCCTCCCTCCCAGATCGCCCGCAATTGCGATCGCGTTGCCCTCCCCCGCTGGCATTCCCCGCCACGCACGCACCCGCCCAGATCCTAGTCCCGCTGCACTCCCGATTGACCTGTCCCCCCATTCCATTCGGACACTGAACGGGACACCTTCTCCAAGGGTGGTTTTGCTGCCGTGGGAAGGTGAAACAGGTGGGGGCAAGCGGAAGTGGAGGGCACAATTGCGGGGGAAGAAGCACCACAGAGCGAGCAGGAATGCGCGTGGGGAGATGCGAGCGGATTGCGTAGTTGAGGGGAGGTCGGAATCAAGCGGGGAATCGGGATCGGGACGTGAGGGCGCAGTTGGGTGTCGGGGGAAACACAGTTGGGGTGAAAGATGACGGGAGGGGGGAGATCTGGATTGGAAGCGGGAGGGTGCGAAGGTTAGGGGAGGGGGGGAAATCGAGCTGGGAGAGGCAGATAGGGAGCGGGGACAGAAGTGGGGGAAAAGGGGGAAGGGGAGGGATATGCGATTGCGCGTGGTGGGGGGAAACGCGGCGAAGTAAGCTGACGTGGCCGCTGCCGCCGTAGGGATTTCGATTGTGAGTGGGGGGGGGGGGGGGGGGGCCGCTGCCGGGGGAGGGGGGGGGGAGGGGGATCTAAGGACTGTCTCTTATACACATCTAGATGTGTATAAGAGTTGGAGGAGGAGGAGGAGGAGGAGGAGTGGGAGGGGGCCGAAGTAATTGGTCACCCGATCACTCTGCCGTCCCTCCCTACTCTTTTTTCAATCAATCAATCAATCAATCAATCGATCAAAGATCCCATCGAATCGATTGATTTGATAGGATCGATAGGATCTTGACAAGTCAAGATCCTATCGAATCAGTCGATTCGATGGGATCTTCGATCAATTGATTGATTGATTGATTGATCGGATTAAAAAAAAAAAAAAGCGGGGGAGGAGGAGACGTTATCGATTCGGTGACAATGGGGAGGAGAACGACGAGTAGGGGGACAGGGATTGGTGGGACGAGGAGGAAGAAGAAGAAGCAGGGGAGGAGGAGGCCGTGGCGATGAAGAACGACGACGAGAAAGATGAAGAGGAGGACGAGGAGGAGGACGACGAAGGAGGAGGAGGCCCCGACGGGGGTGAAGGAGGGAGAAGTGGCGGCAGCGGCGGTGGCAACGGGGGAGGAGGTGGCCCCGACGATGGTGGAGGAGGAGATGACGATGGGACAGGGATTGNGGGCCGGCTGACGCGGGCTGGCGGTCTGGGCGCCGAGCGGCGCGGAGATCGGCGCCAGCGCCGTCAGCAGCAGGAGCAGCCTCGCGGTGGCGCGGATCGGCGAGAGGGGGGGGAGGGGGGCAGCGCACGTGCACACGGCGGAAGCGATCAGAATGGGAGGGGGGGGGAGGGGGGGTAAAAAGACAAGTTGGGTGAGGTAAAGGAGTTGATCAGATTTGAGCAGGAAGGGGAGGAAGTCGGGTGCACAGGGGAAACCGGGATCGGGATAAGGGTCCAGGTCAGGGTGAGGATAATGTGCAGGCAGAACGAGGCGGCGGAGTGCACCGGAAGAGGGACTCAAGGCGGGGAGTGGGCATGGAGTCGGGAGGAAGAGAGGATCCGGATAGCGAAGTGGGTGGGCAGGTTGGAATGCAGTGGAAACGATACACCTGGTCGCGGAGTTGCCCAGGTGCATGCACATTGTGGCACCGGTATCCTCACGGAAGACTGCAGGCGCATGAAGACTAATCCGTCACAGAGCTTGTCGTTGCTGAATCCGAGCTGAAAGAGGGCCAACTTGAAGCTCACACTGAGTGGAGCACGCCGTGGAAATGCCGGAGCCGTCAAGTTGGCCGCTTGGATGAGGGCCGTTGAAGTCGGTGGGGAAGTAGGAGTGTTTGCTAAACGAATGGCATAATCCTCTGGCCAACGGTGGAGAAGCCACGTGTGAGGGGTTCGGTGGGAGGGAGCAGGTTTGAGGTAGACCCGCTCCGATCCCAGTGTGACGCAACCAGGTGCACGTGCGGAGACGGAGATGAGAGAGAAGGAGAGAGGTGGCCACACGTGAAGGCAGCAGCTGAACGGGGGATCGTCCCGACAAGAGAATCGAACCAACGAAAAAGCCCCCGACCTGGGCCTAGGCCGAAGTGATATACCGCCCTAGGTCCAGGTACTCGGAAAACCACTGGTACTGGACCAGAATCAGGCCGACGGCCCGCCTAACTGCCGGTCCACAGGGATACCGCTACACTCGTGAGAACTCGTTAGGCAGCTGATCTTCAACTTCATAGCGGGTTTGAAACACAGGCGGCTGTTCAAATACAGAATGGGGCTCGAGTACAAGCAGCTGTTCAAATACCCAGCGGAATTTCGAATACAGGCAGTTGTTCCAACACAGAGCGGGATCTGAATACAGACAGCTATTCCAATACAGAATCTGAATACAGCCGACTGCTCAAATACGGCGTGTGTTCAAGTGCGGAGCCGGGTTTGAATACAAGTACACAGGTCTACATAACACCAAGCGTCTGAAGACAGGTACACAGTTCTACATAGAAGCAGCAAGCTCTCATAGCAGCATAATACGGGGATCCGAAGTTCTGTGAAGCAACAGGCAGCTCTACATGTGTAGCACGACTCCGCATAGCAACCTAGCCCCACAGCCATGTCTACATAGCATCTTAGCTCTTCATAGCAGCATGTTTTACATTGAGCGAACTTTACATAGCAGCCAAGTTCGACGAATCGGCCAGCTCAACGCATCCACATACCTCTACATAGCAGCACAGCAAGTACATAGCAACCAGAGCTAGGTTTGTCCTTTCATTCTCTGCTGGGTTCTGCAGCCCCTGCTGTAACCACCCACTCTCTCTACCTGCCACGGGCAGAGCCACATGGGGCAGCTAACTCGTATAATGTATTGATATTACAGTAATTTAACATACATAATCTATTGAAATGAAGACCAGGTCTCCTGTGAAGGTAGGTGGTTTAGGGAGAGACCCGCCGAGTTCAAATCCTGAATGGTACGCACATTTAGCTATTGATAAACAGGTCATGCGCCCAAATCCTGAACAGCACACACACGGAGCCGTTGATAAACAGATCATGAATTGTAGGTGTTGGTAAATACACAGGTCATGAGTTATAGCCGTTGGTGAACAGGTAACAAGTCCAAATCGTACATGGTTAGACATGCCACTGTTGACAAACAGCTCATGGGTTCAAATCCCGATGACAAACGCATTACGTGCTGTCTGTCATCCCTTTCCACCTCTTTCTTCCCTTTCCCCTGTTTTCCTGCCGCGGCTTGCCTCCGCTTGTCTAAAAGTGACAGGGGAGCAGGAGTTGTGTACATGGGCGGGTCATGAACATGCGCAGGAATGGTGCGTGAACAGCGGCTATGCAAACTCACTTCTAGACACGATCAGATGGATTGGCTTCCACTTCCATGTACGGGGTTAACAAAACTCTCTCTCTCTCTCTCTCTCTCTCTCTCTCTCTCTCTCTCTCTCTCTCTCTCTCTCTCTCACACACACACACACACACACACACACACACGCCCATACACAACTCTCTATCTACCGATTCTATTCCGCACGCTCGCGCGGTCATCGTGATTCATCGGATACAGGTTGTCGATCCGTGACTACATCCTCCTTGTGAGTCACGGTTCAACAATAGAGGGAGAACCTAATGATCACATTCACTAGAACCCCCTCCTTGTTGTATTCATCCTTCTTGTTTGTGAGGATGAAGCCACGGTTCGACACAAACTGTATTGTTGCGAAAGATCCATTTCGACAAGCAGTCGCCTTCTCATCGCGATGGTGCTTCCTCTGTATGTTCGTCGCATAATCCAGTTGAAAAGCTCAACCTCAAACTCCCAAGGAAGATAAGCCAACCCGAGAGAGAAAAAGAGAGAGAGAGAGAGAGAGAGAGAGAGAGAGAGTATTTCAAGCAAGCGGCACGAGCGCATCACGGAGCGTATCACAGGCCCTCTCGAACGGCCGCGCGGACCACCCACCGCCTTCAGATCTACACGCCTAGGTAGGCTATCAGATGACCAACACATTTAATTGCGCCCTACAACCGCCCTCGCAGTACATCACAGTCTCTGGATCGGATGCTCAATCAAACCACAGCGAAGGGAACTCCCAACGCACCTTAGAACGACACAGAAAGCTCACAATCACGGACCGCACCGAGAGGAAACACAGGACCGCACAGCGATAACCAGAGGCAGACGGACGTACGGACGGACAGACAGACAATAAACCAGCAGTAGCTCAACAAAGCATGTCTACAGCTAAAGAATAAGCATGTTCCTGGCATAGTGCTAAGAAAGCTACATTGAACAAACTGAAGACTAACCAACGAAAATAACAAATGAAGTAGTACAGATCACTGCGCAACGTGACGGGAAAGATGGAACCGTCAAGCTTTTTACTCACCTGCAGCGCGCCTCCGCCGAGAGGATGAGTCGGTGACACAATGGGCGGGTTATCCGACAGGGGAGAGATAGAAAGCCTAGCCATCGCTTTCGCCTCCATCGAAAGAGAGAAATTAGAACCATGTGTCCGTGCAATAGAGGACGGCTCCTTCCCTGTCGTTCGCGGAGTAGACCGACTCGTCAAGGGACCTCCTCCTCCTCCTTCTACCCCTCCTCCCCCTCCCCCTCCCGCTCGGGGTGCCGCAGTTTCTGTGCCTGGAGATGTCCCCCCTCCCATGCATCCTACACCTTGATTGTCATCGAATTCCATCAAGCGCAGTGGAGTCTGTTTCACAGGTGTTGATGCGAATGGGAGAGTAGGACTCACAGACAGCCCCGTCGTCACGGACCCCTCACTCCCTGATACGGATGTTGACGGCCCTACCCCTCCACCCCCAATCCCCCCAATTCCGATGATGGGGGGATGAACAGGGGTCCCGTTCGCCGATGAAGCCGGGTTGTCCCAATTATGATGATCTACGGTGGCCGGAGCGGAAGAGGGGCGAAAACTACTGGTAGGGGGGGAGTGGGCGGAGACCCCGCGCGAATAGCGGCGTCCCGCCGGCCCCCCTCCCCCGGTACCTCCACCTCCTTCCTCCCCCCGCCCACCTCGACCTGATCCAGGACTATCGTTCCCCCCGCTGCTGCTACTCCCCACGGGCGCCCCCTGGCCCCCCGTCCCGGGAACTGAAAGACGCGGGGAGCCCACCCCCGTTCCCATCGCTGTGGATGATGGGTCTCCCGTACTCAGAGAGCGCCTGAAAACCACCTCTCCCGCGCGTCGTCCGGAGGAGCGCGGTATACTCATCGGAGCTGTAGATGACCGCGGCCCCCGTCCGAACCCTCCTCCTCCCCTTTCCCCCCCCCCAACGCTCCCTTCCGCTGGCGATCCCGCTTGCGACGAAGGCGAGGAACCGGGCCAACCTCCGGAACCTCGCGGGGATACAATCTGCCCGTGTCCCGACGGGGATGTCCCGTCTTGAGACGATGACCTCGATGGCGAAGGAGGCTTTCCCGTGAAGCTGTAATTGCCATGGGAGGGGGAGGACGGCGACCCGACGTCCCCCGGCGGGCGAAAAGTGGGTAGGCGAGGCTTGGACAAGCGGCGCCCGGACGGTTGCTGTTGCGCTCCAGCGCCTCCACCTTCCCCTCGCGATACAGACCCATCAGGTGATGGGTATGGCGACGACAAGACACCGACCCTCCCACCACTCGCAGGTCCATTCGAAGGCGGGGAGCAGTTGGACGCGGAGGGGCTCCCCACATAGTCCGGGATGATGCACGGCAAGATGGTAGGCGCCACTTCCAGCGCTGTCACCCCAGCTGAGTGTCGGTACGACACCGACAGGCATAGGCGCCCCACTGGAGTATCCACAGGACTCAGCTTATGGACCTCCATGTCCGACGCGTCTGCTTCAGGGATAGGCGGCGCAGAAGACCGCACCCGGTAGGTCAATGAGAGCCCCCCAGGATGGTGGGCGTGTGATCTGGCGAGTCGCACGAGTCTGTGGGCGGGAAGAGTCCGAACGAGACAAAACAAGGACCTCAACATGATGACGGCTCTTTTATAAACCACCGGAATCTCCATCACGTGTGGCGGAACCACGCCGCTAGATGACGATCCTCCTCCCCCGAGCACACTACCTCCACCGCCACCTCCGCCGGACGTCCCCACTCTGGTCGCGGCGTTATATGCACTGGCGGTAAGAACACCCCCTCCCCTAGGGGTCAACGTGATGCCCCCCCGCCCACCGCCACCGCTAACCTCTCCCCCCCTTCCTCCAGAGGCCCCCGGCCCCCCCTCTCTCCTCTTCCGCTCACACTGTACTACCCATCTTTCGAGTAACGTACTACCAATCCGGCCGCCACCACCTCTACTACCTCTGTGGTCCTCCCTGCCAAAACTTGCTCTTCGATCCCCATAGCCTCCTCCTCCCCAATCAACGCCCGAACCAATAAACGAGGACGACACGTCCATCGCCGCCGAGGACCTGTGCTCGAGAAATATGTCGATGATCATGGGTTCCAACTGGCTCCTTCGCCATGGATCGGCCTCCCGGCGGACGACTTCGGAAGGGTCAAGTTGGATGTTGAACCAGCTGTTTGCTGCATGCTTCGCAGCTGCTGCTGCTGCCCCCAGAGAAGATCCTGCAGCCTCAGCTACAGCTCCTGCTCGCTGATGAGAGGGCGCATTCGACAACC